CAACCGAAACTGGACTCCCTTCTCTGGTCGCCTAATGCCCCATTGTAACACCCTTCAAGGCTGTGCTTTAGTCATTGTTTTTTACTTTTAATATTCTCATATTGTTCATCTTTCCTATACTTTACAAGCAAAACAAGATTATTATTGAAGAATAAATTTCCCTTATCAATACCCAGATAGAGCTAAACATAACGATTTGGTGCATGTTCATTCAGACACGCATAATTACCATTCTTAATTCTTTTTCACAAAAATTTTTAAATCTTCACCTGAGGATATGTTTATTGATTTTTGAGAGAGAGGAAGGGGGAAGAGAGAGAAACAGCAATGTGAGAGAGAAACAGACATCGGTTGTCTCACATATGTGCCCTGACTGGGGATGGAACCCACAACCATTCTGTGTATGGGACGATGCTCCATCCAACTGAGCCACCCCGGCAGGGCACCACTTTTATTTCTTTTGATGAGGACAATATGATGGCATTTAACACAGCTTATGGTGGATACCAAGAGGTCTCATGGTTCATCATCTTTTTTTTTTTTTTTTGCTGCTAATCTTTGAAATGATAGAGCAAAAACATTTACTCTAAAAAATCTTGGAATTCTTTTGTTATTAATATTTATATTAATATTTTATATTTTAGTAAGAATAAATATTATAAAGCATAAATGGCTCAATCATTAGTGATGGGCTTTTATCAAATGAAGGTCAAGTTAGGAATAAAAGTGTTTGCAGATCACAATTACATACAAACCTACAGCTGCACCTAAATATCATTCTAATAGTTTGCCAACTCTGAGACAGAGATTTCTCCTTCACAGGGCTGCAGTCCTGTCTTAGTTTTTTTCAAGACCACTTAGCACAGAACATTTCAATGAGATCATTGAAAAAAAAAATATAAGCAATGGTGAGAAATTAGAAGTGTTCATGACTGTTCTCATCATAACTTGTTATGGTACGCCTTTTTAACTGTATGATGCTACCGTCAGATGTGCTCCTCCGAAACAAGGGAGTAAACCAAAAAAGAGGAAGCCATGACATTAATGAACTAAGGAGTTTAACACAGGATAAAGGCCAATGGAATTTCTAGGAAACAACCAGTCCAGATAAAGGAGAATGGAAATCTCCTGAGAAATAGATAACTCATCTGAGATGACCAAAGGGACTGAAAGGTACAAGGAAGCTTTAGCATAGGCACAAAGAATCCAAACCCAGAAAAAAGCAGGGCAATTAGTCAACATCACCTTTATTAGTTGCAGCTGTAAGCATTAAATTGCTATATTTTCCCAGCTTAAAATGTCAGGTGAGAGAAAATATTGGCTCATTAAAGTGTTTCCTTGTCAAACTTGCTGCCACTGCTGATCACAGTACCTTGCAATGACCATTATGATTAATGGCACAATATCCCAGAAATTTATGAATGAATGTGGTATATATATGTAAACAGCGTATGTGTATGTGTGTATACATATATGTGTATACATACACACACGGCTAATAGCACATATGGATGAATAATTTAACAAAAATGTAAATCACATGATACTTTTGGAAAGTATTCTGACATTTACTTCTTGTGCAAAAGGAATATTTTCTTAATATGAATATAAGCTAAGCAATTCAGAAAAAGACAAGTACATGACCCACACATTTGGTTAGTGGAATCCTACATATCTCTGTGCGCTTAGAGAAATACAATGAAAAAAGTATAAACAGATGATAAATATTTTATATAAATTGGTTCATGCTCCACATGCTGTTTTTAAATATATATATATGTATTTTTAATGTAGCAACAGGAAAAGTACCTACTATGGAACTAAACTACTTAGTCTACTTCTGAGTCCTTTTTTTAACTGTGTAAGATGAGGTTCTCGATACAACCTCCTTGCTAACAGAATAATTTTTCACTCTATTTTGAGGTGGTGGCCATTAGGTTTTTAAACATTATGCCTTACCTTGAGAGAGCGCCAGCTGGGTCCCTAAACCTGGAGGAAGAGGAAAGCAGCATACCTCAATGTCCGGCCTCTCGAGACCTCAGAAGGCTGGCTTCAGACCCGACCCCGTTCGGCAGAAGCTGCCACTTGTCAGCCCCGTGGCCAACACGGCCTCCCAGGCCGGCCTAGCACTACTGAGTCTCTCCAGGGATGAGACGGGCCAATCCCCAGAGGAAGGTGGCCTCACCCCGAGCCACAGGGGACTAAACCAAGACTGGTCTCATCCAAGCTCTCCATGTCATTCTTTTTGTCAGTGACTGGTTCAGAGATAATTGTTTGGCCCAGTTTCGGCTAAGGGAATAGGAGGCAAAATCTGCTGAGAGGGAGTGCTTGTAGAAAAGATTGTCCTTCCTGACAAAAGCGGCAAGATGCACAAAAGAATGTCTCTTCACTTCTTTTTAAAATCTATTTTAAATATCATTATGGCAGGACATTTCCCCATAGGACATCTGCAAATGGCTCATGCCCTACATGGTTAGAATGAAAAAATCTCTATTCTGCTTTCATTCTTAAAGTTTATTTATTTCATAAAGTGATTTGGGAAAAAATATAAACTAGAGTTATATGGTAGAAAGTCACCTAATAATGACAAATGGAGCTCAGAAAAATGCTGATCTTTGAGGAGGTAATATTTGAGAGTGAATAAATTAGAAGGTCTGGTAAAAGAGGATTCTATGTCTTGTCTTTTCACCCTTCTTATGCTCTGTACTGAACAACAGACATTCTTAATTTGAACTTATTCAAGTTTATGAATGTTTTGTGACCAATAATTTTGTAGATTATTTTAAAAATCTTTCCCCTTCATATCTTCTGAGAGATTTATAGTTTTTCCTCGGACACTCAGGTCTTGAAAACAGTAGAAACTGCATTTTCTGTATGTGCAAGCGCCCATGTGCTTACCCGATTGCGCCAGCACCTCTCATGGCAAAGCCCTTCCTTGTCCCAGTGACCTGCCAAGACACGGCTCTCATCTACCTGGCAGATGGTCATACAGGCATGAATCTGCTCTGTGCTTTGCATTCTATTCGATTTGTTTGTTGGTCAGTCCCTGGATGAATACCACAACATTTTCTTTATTGATACTTTAAATGCATTTTCTTATCTGGAGAATCAAATCCTCCCACTTTGCATTTTACCAGGGGGGGACCAAAAAAAACCGGAATTATCTTCTGGAGGGTAGGCCCCTTGTAGTACAAGCTTCTCCTGCTAGGTGAGCGTTCTAAGAACCCATCAGTATCAGTGTACCAGTTGGCGTTGTTGTGAGAGGCTGCCTTCGGCTTCAGTGAATTTTTTTGAAGACTCTTTCAACATATTGGTCCATTTCATGATGGGTGATTTATGAGTGCACCTGCCCACACCGTGCTGAGTGTACAGCAGTTTTTGACCAGAAGCAGAATGACCTCCATTGCCCCACCCTCCCCATTCACCTGTTCTCCCCCCAGGCAACATTTTTTTGTTTGTTTCCCTGGATCAATAAAGACCTCATAGAGAAAAGTTTTGCCCAAGTGGAAGAGGTAAAACAAAAAAATGGCAGAAGTACTAAAAAGCATCAAAATCAACATGTGGAAGAGGTAAAACGAAAAAATGGCAGAAGTACTAAAAAGCATCAAAATCAACATGTTCAAAAACTGTTTTTGAGCAGTGGAAAAAAATGTCTTGATAGGTGTATTGCATCAAATGGAAAGCACTTTGAAGGTGACTCAAGTTTAAACATGTAAGAATCAATGTACAATTTTTCACAAATTCCAAGGGTTTTTTTGGGTCCTCACCCTCGTATCTTTTTTAGTAGTGTTTGGACTGGCCTTGGCCCTTTGCATTTCAGAATCAGAATGTCAAGTTCTGCACACATCCATGCATTCTGCTGGGATATTGAAGGATACCGATTATATTTATACTAAATATATCAACCAATTTGAGGAGATGCAATCTTTGTAATATTATGTTTCCCAATCCGAGAATCTAACACTTCTCATATTCGGTATCTGTGTTACAATTATCATAGTTCCTCTATATATTTTTCTAACTGTTCCTTTTTAGTTTTTTATATATGCTTTGTTATATTTACTCATAAGCATTTAAAAATTAAGTCTTGTTGTTTATGGCTGCATTTTGTAAAGTTTCATTTTTAATTATTTGTTATTGTTATATAAAAATATAATTGATGTTCATATTGATTTTGTATTAAACTACCTTGTTAAACTTACCTATGTTACAATAATATATTGAAAGACTCCTTTGGACATCCAACATATATATATATATATATATATATATATATATATATATATATATATATAAAATCATGTCATTTTCATATAATCACAATTTCTTCCTTTGCAAATATGTGTGTGTGCAGATGCGCATGCAAGTATGTGTGTGTGTGTGTGTGTGTGTGTGTGTGTGTTTGTCTAATTGTACTAGTTAGGATCTCTAGTAAAAAGCTGAAAACAAGGCAATGGTTTACATCTTTATCTCATTCTTTACTTATAGGGGAAGATGTTAGCATTTCATCATTAAGTATGTTGTTTGCTGTGTGGGTTTTCTTTTTTTTCTGTAGATCCTCTTTAGAAATGCTTATTGTTTGTTATTACTAGCATGTAAAGAATTTATATAATGACTTAATGTTAAATTTTGTCAAACACTTTATTAGATCTACTTACGTGTATGTTTAATTTGTTAATGTGGCAAATTATTTTCATCATCTGTTTTAATGTTAATCAATTCTAGCATTCAGGGAATAAAAACTTTATCAAAATGTAAATTATTTTATTTTATGGACTTGTTTTACTAACATTTTCTTTAAAATATTTGCACCTATTTCGTGAATAAGATTAGATGGTTTTTCTGTTTCATATTTTATCTCAGGTTTGTTATCAATGACTTAAACACTAAGAATATTTATTTTTCCCATTTTACAACAAGTTCAAAGACAAAGAGTCCTAGGTTGGTTAAATTAAAGGAGTCAAAAGGGCATTCAAGGTCCCGGGATAATGAGGACACACTCACACACTCAAAATACTCCCAACCATCCCTCCCAGGGACCTCCTCTCCCCCAGAAACCTCTGCAGGGCACCCCTGACCTCTGTGTTCCTCAGGCTGTAGATCAGCGGGTTCAGCATGGGGTTGAAAAGGCTGTAAAACAATGAGAGAACCTTCCTGTGTTCTTGAAAGTGGCGGGATTTGGGGGCCACGTACATGACGACAGCACAGCCAAAGAAGAGCCCGACCACGCAGAGGTGGGAGGAGCAGGTGGAGAAGGCCTTCCTGCGGCCCTGCCCTGACTGGATCCTCAGGACGGCAGAGACGATGCGCGCGTAGGAGACCAGCACCATGCACAGGGGCCCCACTAAAACAAACACAGAGCCCACAAAGAGGACAACTTCATTGAACCTAGTGTCAGCACAGGCCAGTTTGAACATTGACGTAATCTGACAGAAAAAGTAGTTGATTTTCTGTGGCCTGCAAAAGGACAGCCTCAGGATGAGCATAATGTGGACCAGAGCCTAGAGGAAGCTAAACACCCAGGATGTGGCGGCCAGGACCATGCCCATCCTCCAGCTCATGATGACAGTGTACTGGAGGGGGTGGCAGATGGCCACGTACCGACCAGAGGACATCACCACCAAACATGTACACTCTGTTACAGCAAATGCCAAATACAGGAAAGTCTGAAGGATGCATGGAGCAAAGAAGATGGTTTTCTTGTGTGTCACCAGATTTGCCAGCATCTTAGGAACAGTGCTTAAGGCATACGACATGTCAAAGATGGTCAGGTTTGAGAGGAAGAAGTACATGGGGGTGTGCAGTCGGGAGTCCAGGCAGATGAGCCCCAGGATGACCCCACTGCACAGCAGGGTGAGACAGCAGAATAGCAGGAAGAACCCAAAGAGGAAAACTTCAAGTTCTGGGTCAACCTGGAAGCCCAGGAGGATAACTTCTGTGATCTATGTCTGATTGCTTCCCATATTCTTTTGACAGGTAAATACAGTGCTACACTTAGGACAGGAACTTCAGAGCTGAGAAGCAAAAAAGGAAAAAAAAATGATATGCTCACACAGAGTAAGAATTTATACAAAAAGCCACAAATCAGCAAGTCACGGATTCAATCCAGCCCACAGTCGTATGATGCTGATCTGCAAATTTGGCTTTTAGAGATATTTAAAAGCTTTAGGTGTTGGCCAGTATTAAAAATCAAGAGATTTCACATAAAAATTAGGGCCTCTGGCTTCCTTTAAATATATAGAAGATTTGATACTCCTTGAAATTTATTGTAAGCAATAATCAGCTGAAGTTAACAGAGAGAGACAGATCCCCTCTCACTTACCACAATCTCTACAAATCTCTATTTTCTCCCAGAAACTGAAGCTGACACTTAATTTTATCATTGCACTTATACTATTGGTTGTATACCATAGTTTTAAGTAAAGATTTATGCTCAAGATGAGTTCTTTAGTTCTCCTCTACTTGAAATGCATGAAAGTGACCGATCAAAATGTAAAATGCAAGCCCCTAACTAGACAGCCAGAGTTTAAAATGGGACAATTCTTTCATATACCGGAAATGAATCAGAAACACTTCATGTTCCAGCATGAAAGCAGAGAAGCATGCCTGGCGCTCAGCTTCTATGGAGCTGAGGCAAGTTTTGGGAGATGGGGCACCAAGAGGGTTCTTTGAAACCAAGCACTTGAGCTGGAGCCATAAAGTGGCCGCCGGGCTGCTGGATGCGATTGCTATAAAGAGCTCAGTGTGCTTGCTGGCTCTCTTGCTACATCACCAGAGCCCAAGATACTCTCACAGGGCCCGATTCTACTTGAGGGGCCACGGAGCCTGGAGAATGACTACAAAAACTCAAAATCCCGACAGGGAGAAAGAGAAGGTGGAAAAACCAACATAAAATCAAATAATAAAAACAAAAAGTCTTTCGCTCAAAATGTGTGCCCCAAAACACACTTGAAAACACACAAATTTCATGTTAAAGAGGAAAAACAAAGTAAACTATTGGAACCTTGAATTCAGTCAAGATGTAATTAAATGTATAGAATGATCTTCCAAAGACTCTAACATAGGACGGTGAGAATGTCCCAAAGGATTTTTAAAAAGGCATAATATTTACTTAAAGACTCATTAAATTAAGAAAAATGAACAAGGTAGCCAAGAAAACACAATCAGTTTAAAAACAAAACAATTACAGAGCTTTGAAATGAGAATATAGCCACGCAATTTTTAAAAAATTAATAAAGAGAATAATTTCTAGATCTAATGTTAAAAAGGGAAGCAGTATACTGGAAAGTCACATTTAAGAATCTACCCAGGTTTTAATACACACAGATAAAAGGATAAACTTTTGAAAGTGCAGTTTAGAGACACAAATACTAGACTTAGACTAAACTTAGATATTATAAAGTTTGTAGAGAAAAAGATAAAGAAAATGGTAAGAAACAAGATTTGAAGAGATACCCAAAAATATTATAAAATTAAAAATAGACAAGTCCTTACCTCTCAAAAAAATCTTTCTATTTAATGAGTGCAATAAAGAAAGATAAATGTATACGCAAAACTTTTTATAACTAGCCCTGGCTGCTGTGGCTCAGCAGACTGAGTGCTGGCCTGCAAACCAAAAGGTCGCCAGTTTGATTCCCAGTCAGGGCGCATGCCTGGATTGTGGGCCAGGTCCCCAGTAGGAGGCACACAAGAGGCAACCACACATTGATGTTTCCCCTTCTCCCTCCCTTCCCCTCTCTCTAAAAATAAATAAATAAAATCTTTAAAAAAATTTTATAACTAAAGATGACATAAATCTTTAAGTAACAAATGTACTCTGAGAATAGAATAGAATAAAAAATTAATTCTCAATGAATGTAAATTCTTAACAATTATCTCTGACTATTGTCCTTCTTCCATTCACTACATTTCACTGTGTCTGCACCTTCTGAAACTCCTATTTAAACAATTATGTAGTCAATCAACCTATCCCATGTCTCTTAATTAAGTACCCTTTCAGATTTTTTTCTCTCTTGTTGTCTTCACGCTATTACAGACATTTCTTAACTATATTCTAATTGTACACTTATTCTGTGTATACTTATACCAGGTTGACATTTATCTCATTTATCTCATAATTTAAAAAACATTTTAAAAATAACTCTATTTTTGCTTTCCAAGATTTTTAAGTGGGTTCTTTTTACATCCATTGTTTTGCTTGATTCTGTAGAATCCCTTTACTGTTTCATCAGTTTTATGATATTTAATAGAAGCTATAATTTCATTTTCCTTTTAATCAATCTTTGTTCAACAGTTTTACATAATTTACATTTTCCAGGATTAATAGGAAATATTAAAAGTTACCAAAGGTAAAATACAATTATATTCACAGGAACAACAATTCAACTGACAGTAATGTCTCATCAATAGGAAAGGGTCTGAAGGCAATCAGCTACTATCTTGAATGTTCCAAGAAGGGGTAAGCTGGTGTTCTACATTTTTATATTGTCAAGAATACTCCTGAATGGATGAGAGCAAAGTGAAGCATTATTAAATATGCAAATAAGAAGATACTGAGGACTTACAGATCCTCAGTGTATTAATAAAGTATATTCCTCAATATGAATCCAAGAGAACGCACAGGTAAGTCAATATATGAAAACAACATGGAAACATAATTTGAAAAATATGTTGGCAAATTTTATACCTATTGACTTTAAAACAATTACTGTGGTATTTTAAAAGGATAGAATTAAGCCTTTTGAAACTAATAAGTAAACAGAGGAAGGGATGTTTGATTAGTAAAGAGTGCTAAGATTCCTGATGAGAACTGGAACCCCAGGTGACTTTAAATTTGTTGGCATAATTTCTTAAACTGGGAGGTTACCAGTTGAGGTACCTCATCAAAAATAGATATAGAATCCATAGAATCTAAGGTTTTCAAAATTACATGACAAATGAAAGAAACTAAAAGCATGATTAAGCCAAAAGGAGTCAGAAGGCAACAAAGGAGAAATAAAGAAGCAAATAAATTTTCTGATAAACAGACAACTCAAAAGAGCTGGTATTAACAAATCTATGTATATTGATTACCACATTAATGTAAGACACTAAAACACAGAGATCATCATGGTAGAAGAAAAAAAAAATCAAGGTACATAATCTTTATAAAACGCACACCTGAAATACCTAAATACCTCCTCCTTCTCCTTCTCCCTCTCTCCCTCTCTCTCTCTTTCTCTCTCTCTCTCTCACACACCCCCAGGTTTAAAGATGAAGTAACACACAAAAAATGTATAGCTATAAAGAAACTGGTGGTAGCATTATTGATATCATTTCAAAGCATTTACCGGCATATGGGAGTTAACAATAGAACAATAATAAAAGGATTAATCCACCAAAATGACAAAATTTAGGATCTAGTCCCTACAAAAAGACTTAGAAAATTTTAATTACAAAGTGACTCTTTTAATCTTAGAAAGAATATCTCCCAAACCTACAGAAACATTATATTAACTGGTGAAATATTAGAAGCTTTCACTCTGAGTTAGAAAATGTGCTCCACCAGCACAATTTCTATTTAATGTTGACTCAATAACTAGCCATCAATAAGGCAAATAGAAGAAGTAAAGGGCATAGGATTGAAATGGAGAATATAAAATGTCATTATTACAAGATACAATTGCATACATAGAAAAAACTCCTATTGGTGAACCATTGAAATTCATAAGTGAATTTATAAAAACTTTGAATTTAAGGTCAATGTGCAAAATGAAAAAAAGTATATATGTTTAAGGATTGAAAAATGTGTAAAGATTCAAAGTCTCTCCAAATTGGCCTATACTCTCAATGAAATTCAAGTCAGAATCCTAGAAGGTGTTTTTTTAGTGTGGAAATTAATAATCTTATTCTAAATATCATATATGAAAATGCAAAAAGTCAAGGATAGCCAAAAAACCTTGAGAAGAATGAAGTAAAGGACTTCCCCTATTGACAAGTAACATTTATTATAAACCCAAAATGGTGAAATCACTGGGGGACTGGGGCAAAGATAAGCCAATAAAGCAATGCAGCAGCTTGGGTGACTCAAATTCAGAAACACCAAGACCGTGCCAACATTTTCTATAAGTTACGCTCAGTCTGATGAAATCTATTCATCAGAGAAAACTCAAACCTGGCCCCACCACACATGATGCCCAAAAGAAATTTCAGGTGTGTTTTCATTCTAAATATGAAAGATAAAAGCAAACCTTCCAGGATACTAACTAGAGTATCATAGAGTAGCAGTATTTCTTAAATAGAATCCAAACAAAAAACAGGTTGTCTCATGACAACATTGTACACACAGGCTGGATTCTCTCACATTTCTTTCTGTATCTTTAAAATTTAATAACACATTTTCACTTTAGCATCATTACTTTTTAAAACCACTTCTCAAAGTGACTTAAAAAGTAAAGAGAGTAAGAACATATTCACATCTAAAATTTTTTATAGAGCAAATGTTTTCACTGATTACAATGCTAGGTACAGAAGTAAAATAGGCAAGTTGTCTTCGCAGTAGAATTGTTTTGCCCCATTTCTGCCAGCTAATACTTTCCCCTAAACTTTGATGAGTCACAATGGTAGCCATGTAATACCATTCTAGGATCTGACAATGGGTCTCCCTGGGATCAGGACAACCATCCATGGACAGTAAGCCTGAAACACCAAATCAGGAAAAGTGAATAGGGCACCCTACCAGCTTCACTGACACAATAAAAACACAATGGGAGTTTTATCATATTCTTGCTGCCACGTGTTAACACCTCTGTGCTGCATAGCAAAAAAAAAAAAAAAAAAAAAATGGAGACTATTGTTAGGAGGTGGTAGACACCGATGGTTCTCAGTGTAGGAAGACATGAAGGAGAAATTGTGTAATGGCTCCAGCTTCACCTTCCATTGTAAAAAGAGGCAATGGTATAAGATGGCTTTTATGCCCCTTTAAGGTTGCTACCATGAGATAGGGACATGCAGTGGCACTGGCCCCTCCCCATAAATGTGACCAGGGACAGGTTCTGACTAACAAGAGTGAGAAACCTATGCTTTGACAGCTTGGGTGTCAGACGAGACTCTGAGCGCCCCCGCCCTGGCATGGTGCACGGAAAGGTCCTTCAGAAAGGTGTTTTTTTCTTTTTCCTAAACCTGAGGACTTCGGCCAGCCTTTGTCCTGCTCTCTGTAAGTCATTAACCAGCTTATCTATAATGATTTGTACACAGAAGGGTACTATTTATGGTATTTTCCCCACATCAGGTTTGAATGTAGAGGAAGAGGAGAGGCTGGAGCTGAAGCACCTACTGCCTGAGGTGGGTTCCACGGGTGATGAGTCCCAGATACCCTTTCTGTCCTTACTGTGAGGACAGTACATGGGGTGCCCAGGCGGCTTCTAGAGTGAGGGCTTTACACTCTGACCACCTAAAGCCCACCCATTCCCCTGTCACATACCTGTGGAGTCCAGGGAACAAATTACACAGTGTCTTTCTGCAATTCTATGTCTCCCCTACTGAGTAGAACAAGCCTGCCCTTCTGCTTTTGACTCCAGCTTTGTTATCTGAGTGTGTGAGTGTGTGGGTGTGTGAGTGAGTGAGTGTGTGGTGCTAGCAGAGAAGTGAGAATTCAGGAAAAATGCCAGAGGTGACCCTACTCAGCAGGACCTTGGCATGAATATGTACCAGGTCGGG